AGATTATATCATTCATATATAATCTAACTTTCTCATAATAGGTTCAGCTATAACATATTCCCATGTTCATAGACCCAGTGAAACCTATTATCATAACTTTCCACACCTCTAGTTTAAGTCTAAGTATTTCGCAAATACCCAGATCCCTTAAACTAAGGCTCTGATACCGACTGTAACAACGCACATATTCCATGTACAAATAATTCACATCATCATACTTATAACACCGAATGTAAAATATTTTACATAATACAGATAAACAAAAACTTTCTTGTTATACATTTTGAATAACTAAATGTCATTCATTCTAAACTTTTCCCTTGCTTTTATCTTGCGAGGTATGATTACCTGCAAAACAGGTTAGTCCAACAACTGAGCATTAGACCAAAAAGGTCTAGTGAGTGTATAAATCCCAAACAAACAACATACTTTCCAAACAATCAGTTCAGAATCAAACCTGTTCTGACACATAAACTTATTTATGTCTCTCGCGGTTACACCGCCATTACATCCCTCTCGCGGTTACACCGCCAGTACATCCCTCTCACGGTTACACCGCCATTTCATGTCAAAAATATTTCAACACATTAACCGGATTTGAAGTCCGGTCAACCTTGTCCGGATATGTAATCCGGACAAACACTTAGATTATCAAGAGTAACCATTATCTCCGGTCAACAATCCGAACAGCACCTCGTATAAGTTTTGTCCAGTTAACACTTAGAATTAATTTAATATCTTTGTCCGGATATCAAGTCTGGACAATATCCCGCTCACAACTTAACCGATTAAAATAGTCCGGACAATACATCGTCCAACCCTTGACCGATTTAAAGCAATCCGGACAATACATCGTCCAACCCTTGTCCGATTTAGATAAGATCCGGACAACACTTGAGCGGTTTATAATCCGGATGAAATTGTCTGGATATTAATCCAGTCATCACTTAGACGATTTAAGGAAAAAAATCCGCACAATATGAAATATAAATCATAATAACCAGTTCCAATAACTACTGAATTGTATGCAAACAATTTATACTCAAAGCTTTAATACACTCACCTTACAAAAGATGTTGAACGGATTTGAACCTGACATTACCAATCTGCACTCTCTCAAATGACTTTTGTACTCAAGAATCTCAGCCACCTTTATTTCTCATATGCACTTGTTATATATAGCAAGTGCATAAACCGCCAACATATTTATATATTTCACAATCACCCACACAAACACACACACATCTAATATATATATATATATATATATATATATATATATATATATTCTAATTTCTAAATCTATAACCAAAATTATGAAACCCGAATATTACACGTGTGTTTAATCATATATGATTAAGCTTGTGTATCATACTTGTAATCATATATGATATTGAAACTTCTCATCTTCTCATAAAATGTTTAGCTTCTCATTTGATCCTGCCCTTATGTATATATATTTAAAAAAGTATTGCTAAAAATCCCCGAGTCATGTTTAATGATGCAGTTTCTCTGTCAATAGGCGAGTCTTGATGGCATCGGTTGGTGATGGGAAGCAATTCCGTTAAGGAGTTATTTTCACATTTTCGACGAAGAAAGGGAAATTCCATTTCTTTAATAACGTCGTCTACACTCTACATTTGTACTTAGAGACGACGATTATATTAATTGAAGAATGTTGTAGCTTGGGTACAACTTGTGTCATGAATGAGACCTTTCTCAAAACCATATATTGTATAAGTCATCAAGTATTGTACAATTGTGTTTTGAAGACTTACCGGCTCCAATTTTAAGCTCAACTGATCGGGAATCATTGTTTATCAAAGATCACGAATGTGCTATCGATACCGAATCTCTTTCTTTTTCAAATCTAGTTACAAACCTCTTGAACCTATTGTTCGTCGGTTTATTCAACCTTAGATTCCAACACAAAAATAGAACTCGGCGCAAGTATACACCTTGAA